TTTTTACCAAGGATGAACCTACATTGATACATTGTAATCACCTGAAGTCCATAGTTTACTTGAGAGTTCACTTTTGGTGTGGTACATTCAAAGGTTTTGGACAAATGTGTAACGATGTGTATCCATCATTATAATATCACACAGAGTATTTTCACTGCTCTAAAAATCCTTTGTACTCTGCCTATTCATCTCTCCCTCCCTCTGCCTCCCCCTCCACCAACCCTTGATCTTTTTACTGTCTCCATAGTTTGACCTTTTCCAGAAGGTCATATAGTTGGAATCACATACTGTGTAGTCAATTCAGATTGGCTTCTTTCACTTTAGTAATATGCATTGAAGGTTTCTCCATGTCTTTTCATGGCTTGATAGTTCATTTCTTTTTAGTGCTGAATAATATTCTATTGTCTGCATGTACCACAGTTTATTCACCTACTGAAGGACATCTAGGTTCCTTCTAAGTTTTGGCAATTATGAATAAAGCTGTATAAACATCCGTGTGCGGGTTTTTGTGTGGACATAAGTTTTTAACTCTTTTGGGTAAAGACCAAGGAGCATGATTGCTGGATCATATGTAGAAAGACAGAATTTTAAACTACAGAAATTCAGTTGACTTGGAGTTAACCTGTGTTAATCATTAGTCAGAAAAGAGGAACACTGTCTTTGGAGAAGAGTCAATTGCATGTTTTAGCTAGCTCAAGGATTGGCAAACATTTTTCTATAGAGGGCCAGATACTAAATATTTTAGGCTTTGAAGCCATATGGTCTCCATGAGACTCTGAGGGTCACTGAACTCTGCTGTTGCAGGGTCAAAGCAGCCATGGACAATATGTAAACGAGTGGCTGTGTTTCAATAAAACTATTTATGGACACTGAGATTTGAATTTCATATAATTTTCACATCACAAAATATTATTATTCTTTTAATTTTTTCCCCACCATTTAAAAACGTAAAAAAGAGGCTTAAAAAAACAAGAGTCAGGCAGAACAAATAAAAACAATTTGCCAAGGACAGAGCTAGAGTAGTGATTCCTCAATTTTATATAATAGGAAGCCCCTCTGTATAGTCTAACTTCTTTCTAGACCATTGTTAAAATCATTGAATAGCAATGAAGTACAGATTATTGAAAAACAGCATTATTTATGTCTTAAAGTTTTTACATTCACTTAATGAATTCTTTCACCATCTTGTAAGCTGACACTTCTTGAAACAAACATGCGCCTTCAATTTGCCTCAGTTTCTCTCTGTGTTGCAGAGAGGATTCCAGCTCACCAAAGCTGAACTTCAAGAAAGTTAATTTTCAGTTAAGGTAGATTTAGGAGGCATAGACACGCAGCAGAAAAGCCAATCCAGATAATCGTTTTTATTTGGCTTTAGAAAGTGTTTTTCTACTTACATGTGAGTATGGGTGTGTCTGATGTTCTGGGAATTTACTTCAAACAAAGGAATGAAGCCACGCTGTGATGATCTGACTCAGTTGGAGTTGGGAAGCCATCCAATTTCCCCATCTTGCCTCCTGTCCTGCTCTTCTCTATGGTATTTTTTATGCTGTGTTTAGATGTCTCCTCTTCTCAGATCAATCCAAATACTCAACAAAGCCACCTTTCCTGAAATTGTCCTTGCAGAGCAGAGGGAGTTATGTGTATCGTTGTGGTTGTGTTCTTTTGAAAGTCCTTTCAGATAAAACACTACTCACGGGAGCTCAGCTTTCAGACAAGCCAGTAATTGAGCACAGTAATTGATAATACTCATTAAACAACCAAGTCAGGCTTATTATGGATAAGCCACGATGAAAGTTGCCTCGATTAATATGGAAATGTAGACATTCCTTAAGTCTTCAAATTTCTTGGCAGAAAAGTTAACCTCTGGGTTCACTGCTTCCCTGATATTTATGGATGATTGAAAAAGATAGGTCCCTTGGGGGGTTCAAACTGTTTTACCTGTTACTGTGTAACAGATTGCAAATTATGTGCTCCTATCAGAATGTCAAAACCAGAGTGATAGCTAACAGGTTTGGAACATTAAGTATCTGCCTGAGGTCAGTGTTGTTGTTGTATTTATTATTATTATCATCCCCATTTTACAGATGAGCAAATTGGCGTGCAGAGAGGTTAAGCCCCTCCCAATGTCACAATGGCAATAAGTGAAGGCACCAACACTGAAATCCAAACTTGCTCGCTCAAGTGTTCATGCTTTTAAAATGGAAACAAAAACCAAACAACCCCCAAACAGCAACTATGGTCAGAACCTAGAAACGGCCCCCCTAAATTTGGAAAGTTAACCAAACCAGATGTGGCCTCCTAGACCCCCTGGTTACCAATGCTCTTTAGAGTAAGGAAAAATGCTAATTCCTTGTCAGCAGAATACTCCTTCTAAACTCTCCTGGATACAGCTCCCTCAGGTTCTGAAGAGTTTAGGATTGTTATTTCTTTAGTTCCTTGTGGCTGCCTTTCACATTTTCTGGACCTTTCTCTTGATTCTACCATTTTAAAGCCACCTCTTTGCTTATCATTCAATTTTCTGACTTCTTGTCAGCCAGCTTGATCACATGACCACTTTAACATTTCATTTAACCCCTTGGGACCAGTTACTGGGATAGAGGAACTATCAGACTCTACATTTTGGATCTGGACCACATCCTGTGTTTTATTTATCATCTCTGTCTTAAGATCTGATTCTTGGGATTAGAGGAGGGAGGACCCTCCAGCCTCAATCTCTCTCTTCCATTTATCAGGGCTTCAACTGTGGATGCCAGTTCTTCGGAACTGTGCTGCATAGGATTAGCCATCCTTAAAGGCATGTTGCATAAAGGGATGATGCGTGCTTAGCTATTTCCCGCTGTCTTATCTGTTTTCATCTGAATCTTCACCTGCTAAAACATAGGTAAAGAGTGCTGGTGAAAAGGGTTACTTTGCATTGCTCAGACAAAGTCTGAAAAGTGATATGGGCATTTCTGTAGACTACCTTCCAACATCCCTATTTGTAAATATTTGACTCACTTACTGGCATTGGTGAGCATATTTCTGGTCCAGGAAAATTCCTTCTTTGTACTCCTGAGGGAATGAAAACTTAGTCGGGGCATGCCTGAATGACCTTCACACTGTACCTCCTCCAGAGGTAGAGAGGCGGTGAGGTAACCTCAGTCTCAGCTGACCGGCTATCACCTGCTTTATAAGATGCCAAGGGCTACCTATGTAGATTCCCAGGGTGGAACCGGAGGAACAAACCAGTGTCAATGGTTAACCCAGATTCTTGGTGTCCGGAGCCTTTCTTCCTTTTATTATTAACTACAGAACATTTTTACCATTGCCCAGCTGTGAGCACCTAGCTCATAGATCCTCTATGGGGACAGTGAATAAAGGTAAGCATTGCTCTATTTTTGTTACTATACAAAGTCATTCAGCCTATATTTTGCTCATGTTGGCCTCTTTGTTTAGGGAGCAGCAATGCTCTGTGTCTAGCAATGTAAATATCAATGTTGAATTAAATGCAATTAAGATAATTTAATTTCCTATCCAAGTGCATTAAGTAGGAGTCAGTGTGTTATATTCTTTGAGTTCTTTTGAAGCTTTGGTCAAAAGTAGTTTCAAATCAGTTCTTACAGAGTTTATTAAACAGATCTTACATGCCACTATATATGTAGATATCTAAAAGTGACTTCATCATACTCCATGTTCAATATCAGATGGAGTATTCCACGATTTCTTTCAAAAGCAAATTTTTACATCTTGTATGTGTGTATTCATTTATGAATATACAGCTTCAATCATTGAAATATGCATTTATATATCCCCTAAAAAAACTTCAAGAAAAATAGGTTAATTTTTTCTGAGAATTGTATATAATGATATGAGAGAAAATTTAAAAATCAATTTTTCTAGACTGATCTTAACATAAATTAGAAGTAGAGAATTTCCTCCTGTTGTGTTCACCTTAATCTCTCTGAAGCATTTTTTCCTGTCCGAAAAATGTTAGAACTTCTGTCCTTGAGTATTTATTCAGGAAAGTGTGGACTTGTTGATCCTTGCTCTCTGGATACCATGAATTCTCTAACATATATAGTTGAATTATTTCCCTCGTTGGTGGATGTAGGTGGTAAACCAGCATTTTTCTATAAACCAGATGGATTTTGATCACATGCATTATACTCTTATATAGTCATATGAAGTGAAAGGTCTTTAGGAAAATAGGACTGGAGTATTTCTGCTGAGTGTTACCCTTATAGCTACAAGAGTCAGATCCTTAAGGAAAAAAAAAAAATTAATGTATCTTTGCCACTTTACTTTGGAAAATGTAGGCAAACCACTCTCTATGCCAGGTTTTAACCAATAAAGTGACATGAAGTGCCTAAACCACAGCTGTTTTGTAGAATACCATTTAAGGAGTTCCTGAAGTTAAGCCAAAAAGAGGTTTAAAAGCCCAGAGTTCAATCAATTCAAATCAGCAGAGAGAGAAAAAGAGGGAGGGAGAGAGAGACAGAGAGATAGAGACAGAAGAAGAGAAAGAGACAGACAGGAGAGAACTAGAGTAACTGATAGATGTAATTCCTGCTTAAGTCTATTTCTAGAACACGAGAATTGTGGTAAATCCAAGACGTTAGTCTCATACAAAACAAGACCATGACAACATTTATAACTGGGAGAAAAGACTGGAGTGGGAGGAGCACTCAATATGCTATTTTGATGCATTTTCCTAAATGAGTATATTTTGACTTTTAAGAGAACAAGAGTTTTCAAGGACATTAAAAAAATATATTTGTTCCATTATACATGTTAGTGGTGAGTCCAAGTTAAGACTTGGACATAAATTAGTTGAAAATTAGGAATTGGCTATTTGTGGAAAATGGTTGATGTATAGAGGATATTCGGAGTAAATGTTTGGTACCAAAACAACCATATTATTTAGTGGAACCTTTTATTTTTTGAATTTGTAAAACTCCCCATTTGAAGAAACTGTTCATCTTTTGTCCCCTATGAGTTCATCCTCAAGTATTCTATGTTACTTTTCTTGTTCTAGGATACTTCCTTGTTCTAGGAAAAGTGGCCTCAACTCTAACTTTAGGAATAGCGGATGGAAAATTTCATTATTTCAGGCATCACATAGACTATAAATATTTTGTGATAGGGTGGAGAAAAAAGCATTTTAGTGCTTACTATGTTCTGGATGCTTAAATACTATATTCGTCAGATCTTCATCTTAACTTTGAAAGAAGCTATTATATTCATTTTATAGATAAAGCTTAGATTTTCCACTTTCTGGCTGGGGAAGTCTTGGGAAAGCCATGTAACTTCTTCGAGTTTAAGAATCAAACTCGGTCTTGTCTGAATTCCAAAATGCATGTGCTTCCCATACCTGCACAACACCCTATCTTTTATTTTTTTTATTTTTTTATTTTTTGTGAGGAAGATCCGCCCTGAGCTAACATCTGCCAATCCTCCTCTTTTTGCTGAGGAAGACCAGCCCTGGGCTAACATCCATGCCCATCTTCCTCCACTTTATATGGGACGCCACCTCAGCATGGCTTGCCAAGCGGTGCGTCAGTGCGTGCCCAGGATCCGAACCGGCGAACCCCGGGCCGCCGCAGCAGAGCGCGCACACTTAACTGCTTGCGCCACCGGGCCAGCCCCAACACCATATCTTTTTAATACGATGATACTGAGAGTTATTAGACGTGACACAAAGGGCAAGGAGGAAATGCGCCCAAAAGATCTCTCACATGTGACCATTGTGTGTGGATGTGGCTGAGAATCCAGATGGGCCATCAATACCCTCTCCCTTGAACCTGTGATGCTTTCTCCATGAATGTTGGTTTCAACAAACCAATTGGGTGCCTATCATTGCTGGTAGCTCTATCACTCTACATGGCTGAAGTCTTAGCCCTCAAGAATGTACCCTGATTCTTTTTATAAATTGATGACTGACACTGTGCTTCTTTTCTAGGCATATACAATCATGTCACATTGATAAAAGCGGTTCTTTCACGGTGGAGGAAATTTTGTTATTTGTTTTTCCCACTAGTATCATTCTTTTTGAATAACGGGTAAGAAATAAGTTAATATTTTTAAGAGAGCAATGACTTACATTTTGTCTGCGAAAAAAGAAACTCGAGAATTCTGATTTTTTTTCCTTTTTTTGGCCACCATAGTCTCAAGTCTTTGACTGCTGTAAGACACTGACATCAAGATAATGGGTCATCTGGTCATTTCCCTGATTTGATTTGGTACTATTATTAGCAAGAAGATATTTTTCTTTAATTTATTCATTGATTGATCCTTTCAGCAAATATGTATTAAATGACAAAAAAGTCCTAAAGCCTGAGGATTGGGTGGGAGATTGTGTATTACAATGAAACCATTTTCTTTAGGAACTTAAGCCTGGAGGAGGAGGAAAAACAGATGATTTGTCATTGAGTACTATGATATTTCATGTATTCAACAAATATTTACTGATTGACTACTCTGTGCCAGGCATTGATTAGACATTAAGGATATACTGATGCAAAGAAAAAGACAAAATTCCTGCCTTCATGTATCTTACCTTTTAGTAGATGTTGGGGGAGACTATCAATAAGTAAAATAAATAGCTTGTCAATGGTGATAAGTAGTATGGAGGAAAACAAAAGGGAGAAGGAATTATGTGGCGGGTGGAGGAGGAGAGTACTGTGTTAGTTATCTATTGCCATGTAACAAGTTACCCCAAAACTGTGTCTTAGAACAACAAGCACTTGTTAGCTCACAGTTTTTGTGGGTCAGGAATCTAGGCTTATCTGGGTCCTCTGGATGAGGGTCTCTCATGTGCTGCAGTCAGAGCATCCACTGGGCCTGCAGTCATCTCAAGCCTCGCCTAGGGGAGGATTCTCCTCCAAGCTCAATCACATGGTAGTTGGCAGGATTTGGTTCCTTTGGGGCAGTTGGATGGAGGGACGTCAGTTCTCCACTAGTTATTGGCTAGAGTCCTCCTTCAGTTCCTTGACACATGGGCCTCTCCATAAAATAGGTCACAACGTGGCAGCTGGTTTCCATTAGAACAAGCAAGGAAGTAAGCAAGACAGAAGACAGAGTCTTTTTCTAACCCAATCTTGAACGAGACATTCCCCTCAGTATGGCCATGTTCTATTCGTTAGAAGTGAGTTATGTATTCCAGCCAACACACAGGGGGAGGGGATTCCACAAGAGCATGAACATCAGGATGCGGGATCATTGGGAGCCATCCTCAAAGCTGCCTACCACAGCCATAGAGGGCTTCACTAAGTAAGTGATATTGATCAAAGACCTGGAGGTGGTGAGGAAGTGAGCAATACGGATACCTTAGAGAAGAGCTGTTCAGGTAGATGGAACTCTGAGTGTACCTGGCATGTTCGAGAAACAGTAAGGAGACCAGTGTGGCTGAAGCAAAGTTGCGAGGGGAAGAATAGCAATAGATGAAGTCATGTAATGTGCCAGAATTTTTTCCAAGGTGGAGACGATTCTGCAAGCTAGACATGTCAGAGATGGTTTTTTGAGATGTTATAAAAGACCGGGGAAGGTGTAGATTTGAGCAGGCAGAGAGATAATGAGGAAGAGCATCATGGATGGCAGGCGGGTAATGTGGATGAACAAAATACAGAAGTGGGGATGAGGGCAAATGAAGACATGGCTTCTCTAGTTGACCAATGGAATAATGAAAAGATATCTTAATATCAAGACCGTGCTAAGGCTAATGACCTACTCACCAAATGAGAGTTCCTTGTAAGGAACACACAAATCTCATCAACACAGAAACCAGGCCCTATTTGGCTCATCCCAGATGTTGCCAGCAGACAGGCAACTACAAAGCAAAAGTAGAATTCTCAGGCAGTAAACAGTATTAGAAGTCTTTCTCCAAATGCCTCTCTCCTGATTAGAATGTGCTCTTCTCTCTGATTTTAGCGATTAATGACCAGCAAGTCATCCATCAGTCTTAGCATCTTCAAATGGTCCCTTTGTTGGTAACCATGGAATAGGGCTGTAAAAAAACAGTCCTTCTGAGATACATATTGTCTTATTCCATTCAGCCTGCTGTACCCAAAATACCGTAGACTGGGGGGCTTAAACAACAGACATTTATTTCTCATAGTTTTGGAAGCTGGACGTCCAAGATCAAGGTGTTAGTACATTTGGTGTCTGGTGAGACCCACTTCCTGGTTCACAGAGGCCTGTCTTCTCACTGTGTCCTCCCATGGCAGAAGCGGCAAGAGAGCTCCCTGGGGTCTCTTTTATAAGGGCCCTAATGCCATTCATGAGGGCTACAGTCTCATGACCTGATCACCTCCCAAAAGCCCCACCTCCTAATACCGTCACACTGGCGGTTAGGATTCTACATATGAATTTGGGGAGGACACAAACATTCAGTCCATAGCATCTGTTGAAAATAAACACAGAAGGTTGAAATAAACTCAGATAGGTGTACGGTTAAAGTTTCTAGGCCTGAGAGTTCAGCTTCGGGATAAAAATGGCTTCTCTACACTCAGAAATGCATTGCATTGAAAGATTCCTATGCGGGGATTCCTAAGCAGTTGCATCCTGCTTTCTTCACGGGCCAGCCTCAGCAGACTTGGAGGAGAATTCTTTTCATCATCATTCGTTAGGCCATATGTGCCCTAGCCTTGCAGTTATCTAAACATAAGGGGTAGATGACTTTATTTTTCTGATAGTTGCTCTTAAGAGAAAAAAATGGGATCAATTTTTTTTCCTCCTGTCACTCCAGGGTTTGTTTTCTACTCTAAAATCAAGGATTCAGATGCAAAACATATATAGCATTTTAAAGAGGCTTTCCACTTGTAAATACAACTTATTCTAGTTACCTTGTCTCCACATTCAGTCTCTCCCAAAAATAGACCTGAAACTGTCCACAGATGCAAAGGAAAATTGAAAAAAGTCAATCTTCTGAGTAAGAAACAGCCCCAAATTAGATTTATCCAACAATTCTACATAAAGAAGGTGATTTTTACCTTAAGTTCCAGAAATATCACCTCAATTACTAATTTTATTTTACTTATATGAGTATAGTATTAAGAATTCAAATGGTTACGTGGCCGGCCTTAGATTATATTCCATAAGATTTGTTCTTTTAACTTAAAAACAAACATTCAGTTATTCCTTCTTTTTTTAAAAAAAATAAAAACGTATGTTCTAGCGAACCTGACCAAAAACATATTTCATTATGGTGAATTTTAATTTTTCATTATATTCCATTTTAAATGCGAACCATGTTCCCATGCAGTCAATAACCATTTCTTAAGTTTGGATACAGAGATGACAAAGACCTGGTCCCTGCCCTCAGTGTGGCAGAAAAAAGCAGATCTACAAATAATTAAGGGAAATTCAACGCATAGTACCATGATAGCATAAGACATGATTAGCACACCAACCAACTGAACTCTTTGTCAGGAAAGCAGTAGGGCGATAGTCAAGTTTGAGGCGTGTTGGTGTTGTCTTGGGTGTGCTTTTGGAATTCAAAACTTTTAGACACTGAAATATTGTTTTTACTATGAACTCTTTTACAAGATTTTCTGTTGCCAGAAGCTCACTCTGACAGTTCTCTTATGATTATTGTCTTCTTTCCTCTATAGTTTGGTAACTATTAGTCAGGGTTCTCCAGAGAAACAGAACCAATGAGGTATATATAAAGAGACAGAGATTTATTCTAAGGAATAGTTCACATGACTGTGGGGCTGGCAAGTCTGAAATCTGTAGGGTAGACCAGCAGGCCAGAAATTAAGGTAAGAGTTGATATTACACTCTTGAGTCCAAAATTTGTAGGATAGGCCAGCAGGCAGGAAACTCAGGCAGAGTTTCTATGTTGCAGTCTTGAGGCAGAATTGCTTCTCCTTTGGGAGATCTCAGTCTTTGCTCTTAATACCTTCAACTGATTGGATGAAGCCACGCCACATTAGGGAGTGTCATCTGCTTTACTCAAAGTCTACAAATTGTAAATGTTAATCACATCTAACAAATATCTTCACAACAACATCCAAAATGGTGTCTGACCAAACAACTAGGCACCGTAGCTCGGCCAAGTTGATACATAACAATTAACCATCACAGTAACATAGGGCATTTTCACCCTGATTGTATTTTGCCATACAGTGATTAAACATTATAAGATTGAAGCTTCAGTTTCTGTAAAAGAAATTAAGAACTGTACTTTACTAGTTATATACATGTTAAATTCCATAAAATTTAGCATTTTTAGTGCTACAGCTTTTTATTAATGCAATTTGGTCAAAGAGAAAATGATTTCTTTTACTTGAGACAAAGAACAAATTATTTTAAAAGACTCCACAGTCCAGCCTTCTAATGGCATTGTCTCCTCTTCCATTAACTTCACTTTCTATGCCATATACTTCAGCTATTATATATTCTCTCCTATATTTTCGTGTAGTTTATTTTTCATGTGTATGAGTCCTGCCTCCAATAACTGTGTCCATAGTAGTAGCTTCCTGCCAGGAGCTATGAGAAGCCACAAGATAAATGTGGTGTACCTTTTAGAAGCATTCATTTAACTCAACAATTTGGATGGAGCATAGGAGGAATTAAATAATTTAACTGATAAGCAGTTTAAATCATTATTTTTGTAACACAGGTATTCTGATATATGCATATATAAGTATATAAGAATTTAAAACTAGCATATACTATACGTGCTATATATTGTAGTAATATATACTGTATATTGCATATATTGTAAAGAAAAATCATAAGACTGAAATATTTCGAGCTTGGGCCCACTGCTTTGTGTTATTGTCTCACATTCCCCAGGATTTGGGGTGGGAGTAAGGGTAATGTGCTCATTTCTCTTCTGTTTTTTTAGGTTTTTTCTAGTGGAAAATTTTGAGAAGCACTATTAAAGGATGATTTTTGTGAGACTAAATTCTTGGGTTAGGTTACTACTTGATTAGTTAGTTGGCTCTGCCTCAGAAAAATATCTACTCACTCACAAACATGGCCAATCTTTTCGCAACTATGTACTCTTCTCATCTCGTGTGAGACTGTTCCAAACAATGGGTAATTCAGGACATTCTGTCTCTACTTTGGGAAAATAATTCCAAGGTAACCTCACAAAACAAGGCACCTGGTGTAATGGCTGGACCACAAAAATTGTTCAATAGATCTCTGCTTCAAAGTTCTCCTATACAGAAGCCAGAACATTGAGTCTGCTGAACAAGAGCTTAATAGCTCTCACCAACTAGCACTTACCTGAAAGACATACTCAGCCACCCCTGATGAGCTATGAGGTTAACTGACCTTTCAGTATTCTCGTAATGTACTATTGAGTTCTATTTATAGATGGTCCAGTACAATCCTTCCCTAGACTTGCAACTAAAATTTGAGAAGGTGCCAGAACA